GGGGCTGCGTGGGCCAGCGGGCTGCGTGGCAGGAAGCTTTCTTGACACCAGGTCTGTGCTCGTGGGGGACACTGGAGCGTTCCAGGTGTTCAGCTGTTCTTTTGGTTTCAGCACGCTCCAGCTGGGCCGGGTCCCCGTCGCTCAAAGCCCATCTTCAGGTTGGCACTAGAAGGCTCTCACAGCCTGCGGCAGGAATGGTCTCCAAGGTGAGTTAACAGTGTAAGAAAAACAGTCCCGTGTTCCTACATTTCTGTGTGCTAAAACTAAAATATAAAATACACCTCGTCCTAGCAGGCAGGGGATTGGCGTCGGCTCTGCAGGGTAATAAACACTTCCCCTGGGGCACCAGGGCAGAAAGAGATCTCGAAATGTGAATGATTACGTGTTCAGCCGTCGTCCGCAACCCTTCCGTGCTGCAGCCTGTCCTACTCGCTGTCGCTCTTGTCCACCAGTACCGCGTCAGACTCCTCCGTGATCTCCAGCAGCGTCTGCATCTCGGGGCTCTCGGCACGCAGCAGATCTGAGTTTTCTCCCTCCTCTCCACCAACCTCCACCAGCTCCGTAGCTTTCACTTCCACCTCGCCCTCTCTTATTTTCTTGACGTGGAAAGTGAAGGGTGGCACTTTGTAGACGGCCGTCTTGGACCTGGCGTAGATGGTGTGGTCAGGGGTGAACGACTTCCTCAGCTTGTCCCGAGAGGTCTTCAACTTCTCTCTCCTTTCGTTAGTCACAATCTTGGTGCCCAGCTTGTTCATCCTCTTCTCCAGATTGTGGCGGGTCTTCTCCAGGTTTTCCTTGGTCTTTAGCTTAGTCTTCTCCAGGTTTTCCTTCGTCTTTAGCTTAGTCTTCTCCATCTTCTCCTTTGAGAATGCCTTCTTGAAGTCATCCACTCTCTTCATGCCACTCCTTTTGATGCGCTCTGCCCGTGACTCTTCAATAATCTCTTCAACCTCCACCTCTTCGTCCGAGGAGAGCTGGATGTGGTCCTCCTCCGCATGGTCCTCACCCGCAGGCACCTCCTCGCCCTCGCCTTCCTTCTCCAGCTTCTCACCCTCCTTCAGAGACTTGCTGATGCTCAGCTTCGACGGGAGCTTCACTTCATCCTGCAAGACACAGAGCGGAGCCAGTGAGACGCACGCCAGCCTCGGAGCCACCCCCGCGCCCCGGAGCCACCCTCCGCAGAGTCGCGCGGAGCAAAGCGCAGCCACGGCTCAGGCTGAACAGACCCGGGGACCTCATCCTGCCCTCGGGCTCCTGACAAATGACACACCAAGGAGCTGCTCTGCCCACAGCAGCTTGGGGCTCTGCTGTACTTGAATTTTTTTCCAGCTCTGCTCGCTCTGGGCGGCTTCCAAACCCACCCCTGGCCCCAGCAGTGCAGGAAGAGGCCAGCACTGAAACTGGGGACTTCTCCCTTCCTCCTGTGCCCCTGTCACAGTCTCATCCCCTCCAGTTTCATCTTCACCCCAGGACCTGATGATCCCATGACCATGCTCCTGGCCCCACACAAGCCCCCGTGAGCAAGGGGAGCCCACAGGAGCGATGCCGTGCCCCTTCGCTTGCCACCAGAGCCCCTCCCGTCCCCACCATCCCACAGCATCTCAGCTCCCCTCCTGTGGGTGGTCTTCTCTCCGTACCACCGCCGGCTGTCCCCAGCTCTCTGTCCGGCCTGGGGTCTGCGGTTGGCCATGGCGCTGGGCTGCAGATGGCAGCACCGTCCAGAGCCGGGTGCCCGGCCACCGACCCCTGCCTGCGCTCAGGCTTTCCCAAGGCCGGCAGGATCCAGATGTGGGGCTGAGACATCTCCTGGGATGGAGCAGGCTGCCCTTTTTTTCCTATTTCTCTGCTGGGGAATAAGTCAGGGAATTGGTCCCAGCCCATATCTGCAGCGGCCCCTGCACGCCCGGCGAGGTTATGCCGTCTCCTCGGGACAGGAGGGCAATTCATTCAGCTTCTCCGCTCTCCCGGGTCAGCCAAGTTTCTGATCCCAGTGGCAGAGGACAAGCATGTGCCCAGGAGAGGGGCACAGGTCTGGAGCGGGATTGGTTTTCATCCGAGCAGCACATAGCGTGCGTCCCTGGGGCAATGAATCACCTCTCTGTCCCCAGGGCAGGCTGGAAATAGCCCGTCACTGTACAAAGCATCACAGCTGCAGGGCTGCAGCCCACGGCTCAGAAATTTATTGCCAGAGTGGTTTTAATCTACAGAGCTGGGCAGGAGAGGCGTGGAGCTGCTGAGACAAGCGCTGTCAGAACGCCAGCAGCCGGACGGCCGCGTGTGGAACGGGCGCGCAGAGAGCGGAGCCGCTGGGCTGGGGTTTGGAGACAAGCCTGGGCACCAGGCGGCCGGGCACCGCTCCCGGGCCCGGGAAAGGACAGGGGATCCCAGTCCAACACCGGGCCCAGTGAATCAGGGCCCAGACCCCGGGGTACCCCAGGCCCGAGTGCTTGAACCGTGCGGCAAACGCCGGCAGCGGCTCTCCTTCCCCGGCTCAGGGGTGCGGGAGCAGAGCTGCCCTGTGTCCGGGGGGTGTTTGCTGTGGTGACGGTGACACGGGTGGCAGTGCCCACGGCCACACACAGAGTCTGCTGCAGCAGGGGTTTCATTCTGGGCTTTGTTCAGAGCAGAGAATGGCGCTGGGCAATGCTCTTCACCCTCTGCACCACAGCTCGGGTCTCAGATCCTGTCTGGAGCTCACGGTGAAGTGGCCACATGTGTTTTCTTAATTTGGTTAACCGCTTGAGGAGAAAACAATACACGAGCTCTCCAGAGAGCCAGGTCAGCCCAGAGCAAACCCCGTCCCTGGGAAGCGGGGATCCTGTTCTCCACAACAACACCTGCTGGAGCAATCCCAGAGACTCCCGGGGGCCCTGCCCCGCCAGCCAAGAACATCAGGAACTCCGGCCGCTTCCTTCCCCCCGAGTCAACACAATGAGCCAGAACAAAGGCATCTCCCCTCGCCTGGCACGGCGGCGGCTGGAAACGGGCCACATCCTGCGAACACAGATACTGATCAGCCTTGTGAGCTCCAGAACATGTGTGTGCACAAGGAACACCACCCCAGAGCTCCATGTCTGACAGTAAATAACCGCCTTCCTCATGCTGCTCCAGCAAATCCACCTTCTAACAGAATTTTCTGATGTGGCTGAACGGGCTGCACCAGCACCCGACCTCAGCAGCACCC